TGGTTGGTGGGTGGTAGGATGAGAGTGGGTAATAGGGGGAGAGTGCATGGTGGTGGTGGTGTTGGTGGTGGTTGGTGGGTGGTAGGATGAGAGGTAATGGTGGACGTGGCTAGTAGACGGAGAGTGATGGTGCTGGTGATTGCTAGTAGAGCGAGGTTGGCAGTCGTATTAGAACTCGGCAGACTCCGAATGGAACAAGAGCCGTACAACGCAGAAGTGTCTACTACATGTATATATTAACCTTCGACTTTTACCAGTTGCCTCCTGAGTCCGCGGTCAGATTGCACAGCTCTGGAGGTGCTAGAGTGCTTGTACTGTGTCGCCACATTCCTTCTCGCGTTCAAGGACCAGCTGGGAATCAACGGCGGGTGAGTGCGCACACGAGAAGAGACGACATTTTCGCAGAGCTGCGTCGTGGGGTCGGGTCATGCCGCTGGTGGCGTGGGCAGAGATGCCAACCACTACGATTTATCCGTATTTTATACGAATTTCTATTCCTTTGCACCACTACGACCAGTTTGTATCAAACTACGAATTTACTGTGATCGAACCAAAAAATGTTGTTTTTAATTGTCATTTTTTGTCAATTTATTGTAATTTTTGACCCTCAGAATGCAGGAAATTGCATCTCAGAATCAAAAAATGTTCCTGGAGGCATGCCGGACCCCCCTAGCAAACTCGGGTCACTACGTCACCCTCGAACTACTAATTTGATGGCCAGAAACTACAGATTGCTTCAAATATGTGTTGGCATCTCTGCGTGGGGTTAGGTTTACGCATTAGTTGGGTAACTGGTAAGTTTACCATGTTTCTGTCAACAGTCTATGAGAAAAAGTTAGTATTAAGATTAATTTTGTTTCTGACAACGGGCCCCCTGGCCCTTTGGTCGTACGTTGCCGACCCGCTGACGTAGAGTTAACGTTGTGGTTAGCGCACGTGAGATGTGAGAGAGCTGAGGTTAGTCGCTGTTGCAGGCTGCACTACCGCGTGTTCTACGCGCTGTACCTGCACGAGAACACGATGACGGTCACGCGGTCAGACATGGCGTCAACGCTGCGCAGGAGCAACAAGGGCCAGCAGTGCATCAGCAGATACGGGTAATCACGGCAATATGTATATATGTCATATGTATATATATATATATGTGTGTGTGTGTATACATATATACAAATTTATATGAAATATACATATATACATAATACATATACATATAAACAGAGTACTAACATGCACAAACACGGACGCATGCACAAACACACACATATTACAACCTACTTGATACAGCACATGTCACATGCACACGCACACACACGCACACACACACATGTACATGCACACGCACACACACGCACACACATGTACATGTACACACACGCACACACACGCACACACCTCAATTTCTTCTCAAGCTTCGTGTTTTTCGGTCGTCCAATGTCGCAGCCGAGTGAAATCACATGATGACAACGATGCGCCATCCAAACATCATTGCCATCGCGTGACACGTCTGCCGCTGACGCTCACTTGTTCTCGCCCGCAGGATGGGGACGTCGTGCGTTCGACTAACACATGAGCAGCTGCGCATCGTCAACCACCAGCTGGCGCCGGGAGCGGTGATGAAGGTGGTTGCGTTCGCGGGCACGGGGAAGACGACGACACTGCTGCGCTACACACAGCTGCGACCACACCTCTCCTTCCTGCTCGTCGTCTACAACAAGTACGTCGCGATGTGGCTTTCGTCGTCTCGTTCCGATGCTCAGGCGCGGATTTAGGATTCCAGAAACCGGTCACAGGCTGGGTATCTTCAGAATTGACCCTCAAAATTCACCAGAATGCACCAAATATAGCCTAATTTTTTAAAAATTCCCCCGGACCCCCCTAGCTGTGACTAGAACTATGAAAACTGGTCACCCAAACCCTCTGGACGGACTTGCGGCCCCGGTTTTTGCGCGAAGCGCACAGCTCGCGGCCAAGCCGCGCCCCAACGCGAATACGCCGCCCCCTTTTTGTCCACTTAGAGAGATATCTGAGACAGGGGTCTGAAACCGCACTACGCGAAAACTGGGCGCAATC